CGTTTCATTTCAATCCATTTCATTCATTCATTCATTCATTCATTCATGCAGTCAGTCATTGATTGGTTGGTTGATTCATAGACAGAGACAAACACACAGACAGACAGATAGATTAGACATGATTAGACTGGGTTGGATTGGATCACAAGTCACTGGACAGGTGGATAAATAGATCGGTCATCCTGGATGTGGACAAAACGAAATGTTTGGACGATGTGGGATGGACCGTGGCACCGTGGGGAGGGGCCACCCACGTCATCTGCAGCAAAACCCCAACAATGCCCCAACATTCACTGCAAACCTGAGGCTGAACCCCTAAGACTAGCACTTGATACCATGATAAAATGATACAAGATGCCATGATATGTCTCACACCTCTCGACATTCCTGCTGGTGAATAATGACTTGTCTGAAATTTTGTTTGCAGGGCGAAACTGGTCACAGGTCATTGACGTTTCTGGAATAGACCATGTTCTTCGGGACAGGTCCTTATTCATGGAATTTCTGTTGCAATCAACCTAGACTCAGCTCTTGCTTTCCAATATGAGGCCATGGTTTGCGTTTATCATACGTTATCATCATCGTTATTCACATCATCCAGCTGCCATTTGGGTATCCCCCATTTTGCGGCTTAAACCCAAGACTCATGACATTCTATGACACATCGTTTCGCACGCCGAGGCCAAGATTCCACCCAGCGCCAATGCACCTAAAGACCCTGCCCACGAGAAGTACTGCAGAAATCGCAGTGGTCGAAGCCACCACAGCGACCTCCATGGGTCAATGCGCCGCTGCTGTCGCCGACTTATGCACTTTTTGTACTGTGTTTTAGGGCTGGTAGACTGAAAACATATCAAGACCAGGGCTTGGAAATGTCCCATGACTTAGGATATCAAAACACCGCTTTCAGTGATTGCTGGTAGTGATTCTCCAAAGGGTCGAATGAGTTTTCGCCACATTTCACCACCCCTTGCACCAAAATTGATGGGCTGGAGTGATGCCACAGTATGCAGGGAAAACCATTGCAGTATCTTCATCCATCGTCTGTCTATCCGTCGAACAAATTTCTATGTCTACGGACTAATGTGGTGCTTACTGTACCCCATAGACAATCCCCATTCCATCACCATGTCTGTGGGTGGTTTCCCCACGATCCCCAAGACAGCCCCCTTCCTGCCGTTGGATATCACCTATCTTGGGGGATGGGAATCATGCCTCCGCTGGGATTAACATGGCACATGGTCATGAGGAAGGAATTATATATATATACCCCTTGTCAAAGGAAGTTTAGCTAGAAAGCTTCCGAGTTACGGACGATTGTCGTGGTCAGCATTAGCATCGCCATCATCATGTCAACCACATCATCATGTCAACCAACCATCATCAAGCAGTTGGGAAGTGCAACAATTCGGGTACGTGTGAGTTCACGGGTGAAAACAATCTCGAGCGCGAAACCCTGTGTTTTTTTCGGGTAAAGTGGCTTCCGTGGTCGCCGAAGTATAGGGTCTCTGTTTCCGCGGGTTCGGGGCTCGATCTGCACAAGTTGTCGACAAAAAGTGCACAGGACTGTGGCGAGAGCGCGGTTTCCATTTGAAACTTGCAAAATACAGACGACTTCGGAGCACTTTCCGCAGAGGAGGGCGGCAAAATGTGCACGAGACATCATGAGACTATAGCGGGAGCTCGGCTCATTTTCGCAAAAGAACACTATTCCCAGAGTAGCGCGGAATCGTCCCCATTGTCAGCGTTGCGCGAACGTTGGTTGATTTGGTGCGACGCTCCTGCTATGCGGGTTTGCAACGAGCTGTGACAAAACGCACAGCTCTGCGCACAAAAGCGCCACTAACATTGCGACGCTCCTGGCAAGCGGGATTGCAGCTGGAGGTTGCTAAACGCATTGTAACAGCTGCACGAAGAGAGGAAGTGGGTTGCAGAAGCTACTAAAGAGGTAGCTGGGAGGCAGCTCAGAGCACAAGTAGGAAAAGGTCGCTCAGTGAAGAAGTAGCTCAACAAAGAAAAGTAGCTCGCCCATCCATCCATTCATCACTCCATCCCTTCGTTCATTGGTTCACTGATTCATGGATTCACTGATTCATTGGTTCATTGGTCCATTGACTCATTGATACGCTGAATCAGTGATTCATTGATTCATTGACTCATTGATTCATCGACTGACTAAATCATTCATGCATTGATTGATCGGTTCATTGTTTCAGTGAATCATCGTTTCAGTGAAAAATTGATTCGCTGAATCATCGTTTCATTGAACCATTGATTCACTGAACCATCGGTTCAGTGATTCATTGATTCACTGGTTCGATGATTCAGTGGTTCAGTGGTTCATTGGTTCATTGATTCATTGGTTTATTGGTTCACTGGTTGCTTGATTCATTGAGTCATTGCTTTGTTGCTTCATTGATGCATTGGTTCATTGACTCACCGACTCATTTATTCATTGGTTCACTCACTCACTTATCCGACAATTCTTTCATGTCATTTTATTGGCATCTCAACAGCCATTTGCTCATTCGTTGCACCTCGCAACTTCAACACTTCATTGCTTCTGCATCGCAAAAACTTTCCTATAATATTGAGGGGTTATCACTTATCCAATATTTAAATATAACCCATTATGTTTGGATTCCCATGGCATCGGATGAATGACCATAATCCAGCAGAACCATGTTTTGATCATGGCAGGCATGGAATGGATTGTCCTTATCTTCCATCGATCTTCGGTGTGGGATATCAGCCGAATATATGGGCCATACCAGTGATTTGTTTTCATCACGAAACGTGGGTGTGTTTTCAACATTATAGCAAGGCAACACCCCAATAAATGTCAGATTTGGGATTCTCCAAATTCTTTCTTTTGGGGCGATAATCATTCTATTTGAATTGCACCTAAGCAATGCCTGACACCGGGGAACCGTGGTGGTGCGCCAATCCAATCAGGCATGGAAGTCAGGATCATGGCACAGGACCACATGCCAAAGCCTCTGGGATGAAGCGGAGGAAATGCGGGCTTTCTGCAGGGGAGATGCACCAATAGATTTTTCTGTGCCATGGGGTATGGTCATCCCCAGTGGGAATCCTGAGTTTGGCTTTATAAATTGCTATTACAGTATGTAGTGGATTGAACCAAGAACGGGCGGACAAACTGGAACATGTGGGCTTCTTCAGAAATGCGCTACTGTTACACCAAATGTGCCATGTCAATCGACCAGAAATGTTTTTTCAATGCCACTAGATAATTTGGGGGATACTAGTTAGTAGTCAGTAGTCATATTCTTCAACAAATCAATGTGGTGGTCTTTTCCAATAACATGTTGCTAATCTTAGATGCCCTAAAAATAAAGTCTTTTAGCTGGCCAACTTAACGCCGGTATCCCAGTGATTTCTAAGGTTACGACCCATCTGCTTCATTCACACAGTTGGTTAAGCCATATTAACCATATTTAACCATCACATCCATTGGTTCATATACCCCAACTAAAACTTTGCTGTTTCTTAGGCTGCATTAAACCCTCCATTCGTATTCATTTGTACCCTCCACCATGCTCAAATCTGCCTGTTTAACTCCCCACGGTCCCAACGTTTCGTGATACAATCAGTGATGCGTCCATTATACATCCAAGGTTTCCTTAGTCTTTACTCCTTAAGTTAACCAGGTTGATCCAGTATTGACTGTTAAATCATGTTTCCTATTTGCCCTCCGGTAATCAAGCATGGCTTGCTGGCAAATCCACCATGTATAGATTAGTTTTCCAGCGAACGAAACGAACTAAACCTCAAAAAAGGGCCATGGGGATTTCCCATTGCGTTGACCGAAGGGTAGCCATGTAAATGGGTTTGTCTGAAAATAGGGTATATTCCCAATTATAGCCATTTAATAGGGATAATGATCATTAACCATTGGGTTTAGGGGTACACTATTTTCAGACACACCCAAATCACCTTTGGTTCACCCAGAAACAACCCAAAAACCTCGGGTTGAAAATTCCACGGCTCCGTCGCTGGGCTTTCCCACCCGTCAGCACCATGAACGCACTGAGGACGTGCACGGCGAAGTGGGAGTCCCAGGAGAGCAGAGTCACAAACGCCAAGCCAAGGACCATCAACATGGCTCCTAAACCATGGAAGTTACAAATGGGTATAGCCATGGTTCCAAACCCCCATAAGTCGGGATAATATTATATACATATCTATATATATATATACATTTACATAGATAGATATGTCATATATATGATAGGACCCCCTCATTACTATGGTCAAACAATCCACTTATATCTGGTGAACTATCATTGCTATGGAAGCCATGGCTTCCATAGCTATGTTAGTTTGCCAGAAGGTAAACAGACTGGAGGTGACGCACAGGCATATGGCATCCTGGTTAACACCTTGATTACTGGCGCTTCTTCAAGAATTAGATGTTTCACTACATAATACTACATCTACACCTGAAGATGGCGACTCATACAGTGGATAAAATCTCCAAACATGTCAATATGACATTTCAATGTTTAAGAGGCAAATCATGTAAATAGGGGACTTCCCCTTGCCATGTTTGACTAACAGATCGAAGACCAACAAATAATTGAAATCACAGATGTTGGTCATTGGGATGTCATTGGGAGTGCTCAACTTTTGACCCAAATCATCCTGATTGGGGCCCCTCCACGCTCTTTTGGACATCCCCAGCAATTGCACCGGTCTGCGGTTTCAAGCCATCCCATTCCTGCCGTTAACCACAAACTGGTTCATTGATTAAAACCAATGTGGTTGGCGGTTCAGCCCAGTTGAAAAAATATCACAGTAGTCAATTGGGATCATCATGCCAGGTAGTGTTGAAAATGAAAGCAGCAATATTTGATGGTTCAATCCCTGATTGTATTGAAGCTCAAAACGCTCTGCGTCCTGCTGCATTGAAGCCTGCGTAGAGCAGAACATCCACGCCTGTGCCAGACCCGCATTCACTTCTTCTTTGGGTGTGTAAAGATCTTGGTATTGACATGATCCTTTGAGTGCGTAAATGGATATACAGTAAATGAAAAGGACACGAAAGGAAGGACTAGATTCCCAAGATATGTTCTGGTTGTCGGCGTTTTGCCCAATCACTTAGCATCAATTGAAGTGTCGTTGATCCGATCGAAGTGTGGTGAAACATGGTGAAACCCCAAGGCCGGTCAAACCATGCTGGATTGTCCCACCCAGCCTCGGCGGCCCTGTGCCGTCTGCATCTGCCACTGCGAAGCGAAGATATGCAGAAGCCAAATCGACAAGAGGCCATCGGAGATGAGAACCCCCCAGGAAAACAGCCATCCTCAGAATGGGGCTGTCAACCCTCGACCCCAACTGGAGGATCGGACGAAGTGCTTTAGGCAACTGCATGGCCTGTTGCCAGATATCAATGGGATACAGTTGGATCACATACGGGAGGGATACTTTGACGGTCCCATCAACCCATTCACTTCGTGTTCCCAGGGCCGTGGCATGCAAACTTCTTGAACCCCAGAAAATAGATTGTTTCTCAGGAAAAAAGTGGGAGCGCCACAAGCGTGGAACAGTGCATGGGACATCATGCGGCCAACCTTAAACTTCAGTGAGGGTAGTATCAGTAATTAGTCTGGCCCCCAGTTACGGAAAATGACCTAGTCCAAAAGGCTCCCTGGGCCGAAGTTGCGAGTTTGGCCTCACAATGGAAGAGTCTCTCCTCTCAAAAGGACTTTCGACTTTCGAGCTTTGATTATCCGTTGTGGGTGTCGGCGGGGTCCTGTAAATCGGCTCTTGGTTGGATGGTTCCTTCTTTGTTGTAGTCACATGCCAGTGTTGCATTGATTTTCACCCCCAAGGTTTCATCTCGACCAGCAGAATGCCCCTAGAAATTGCTGCAGCATTGATTTTCACCCCAGGTCCTCCATTTTCGCCGAGTTTCTGGTGTTACTTTCAAGGCCAAAGTGTGACAGAAACGGTGGGACTTTGGAACCTGGGCGGTCTCCGGACGTCTCCGGAGACCCGTCACCTGCCTAGCAGTTTTCTGGATCGGAGATTATTCCAATATTTCCTACATATGTTGTGGTTCATCAAGGTCAATCAATCTTGTGTTTGCTTGATTACAAAATATTATAAACATGGTGACGGTGCTTCGATCTAGGTCAATAAAGAAAACTACCCCTTTGAATCAAATAACATCAATTCACCAAACCCAACATGTTGACCCCAAATCATTACTGGTTGGTGGTTTCAACCCCTCTGAAAAATATGAAAGTCAGTTGGGATGATTATTCCCAATATATGGAAAAATAAATTACTTTACTTCGTGTGATCCCCACCATGACATTTATACATGTTCTTACGGGCACATCTTCTGGCATTCTATCTGACATATCTTCTGACATTCTATTTGGCATTCTATCTGGCATATCTTCTGGCATATCTTCTGGCATTCTATCTCTGGCATTCTATCTGGCATATCTTCTGGCATTCTATCTGACATATCTTCTGGCATTCTATCTGGCATTCCATCTGGCATATCTTCTGGCATATATTCTGACATATCTTCTGGCATTCTATCTGGCATTCTATCTGGCATTCTATCTGGCATATCTTCTGGAATATCTTCTGGCATATCTATCTGGCATATCTTCTGGCATATTTTCTGGCATTCTACCTGGCAAATCTTCTGGCACTCTATCTGACATTTTATCTTCCTACATGAGGTCCGGCAGGGAACACTTGGCGTGGATACTCGCGGTTGAGGTCCGGCAGGGAACACTGGGCGTGGATGGTCGTGGTTGAGGTCCGGCAGGGAACACTTGGCATGGATACTCGCGGTTGAGGTCCGGCAGGGAACACTGGGCGTGGATGGTCGTGGTTGAGGTCCGGCAGGGAACACTGGGCGTGGATGGTCGTGGTTGAGGTCCGGCAGGGAACACTGGGCGTGGATGGTCGTGGTTGAGGTCCGGCAGGGCACACTGACGTGGATGGTCGTGGTTGAGGTCCGGCAGGGAACACTGAGCATGGATGGTCGTGGTTGAGGTCCGACAGAGAACACTGTGGATCGCGGGTCGCAGTTGGACGAGGACGACGAGGAGGACGACGAGGAGGAGGAGGAGAGGAGGAGGAGATGAGGAGGAGGAGGAGAGGAGGAGCAGGCAACTGACATAAAATCTAACAACCCTCACCTGGCAGGTGGGGAAAAATGTTCCAAACCACCAACCAGATTAGTAGACTGAATAACTTGACTCAGTCCGTTGATTAAACAAAGTGTTTGTCCGCAGACCAAATACGCTGCAGAAATCGAATGAAATTCGCTGATGTAAACCCTAAGAATGAACAATTTTTTGCAGCATAGATATGCTTCAAATACCTCACAAACGGTAAACATTGGTTGTTGTTGTTGTTGTTGTTGTTGTTGTTGTTGTTGTTGTTGTTGTTGTTGTCCAATGGGTACAAACACCACCTTCCTAGCACAGCGAACCCTAGATGCGCTGCATTCTCAACATATGGTGGGAAATTGAAGGAAATTGTCAAAAAATGGTTGTAGATGGTTGAGCCATCCATGCTTAGAAAAACAAGTGTTGATTGTTCATGAATTACTACATATAATATCATAAAATTATGTAATAATGTATGTATTTGCAACACGCGTATGTATATCATTATATTTCTATATTTATCGATCGGCTTTATCATCCGAACTAGCCACGTAGCAACAAGAATATGAAATCACCAACCAGCGGCAGCACCCCTCCCCTTTGCCGCAGTTTTTTCAAGGACTAGGAACATCCATTCGAAACCCAGGTGACGTACATCACGGCCAACAAAGTTGGAGAACACAGAGCCAGAAGCACCCACCATTTCCGCGCCAGAGATTGCGACAAATTTCCCGGTGTCGCGGTTGGAGGGTGTGCATGTCCTGGAGCTGCGTGAAAGGGCCATTCATGTGTCTACTTGGCAGATGGCTATGGGTCAAGCTATTCGCTACCCTTAAAATGCTAATTTTAACGCACCTTCCCTAAAAAATGGTGACGGGCGGAAACCCCCCCTCCACCTAAACAATTCTAAACAGGGTGCCACTTGTCCCTGCGTCCTGCAGATCCCACGTCTTCTGGCAAGGTGATTCTCCCCTCCTCAGGCAGCGATCCATGGCCACTCTGGATGCCGCCAAAAATTATGCCCAGAAAACATGGTGCACCATTTTGCCCGGCCACTGCGCCATTTTAGGAATGGGGTTTGGACGGGTATTTGAAGATTTCGGGGGGGCAAACACCATGATTTTGTGACAGTTGTCCTCTAAATCCCTCCCATTGGGATAAAGCATTCAAGAGACACGTCCATATGTTATACTGGACGACACTGCAAATGCTACAAGTACCCGTCACTCGCTGGCCTTTTCAAGCACACGTACTTCCGAAAGTTGATCAATAAAACTGTAGAATTCTGCAATGAAGGGCGACTTTGCACCAACATGGTTACACATATGCAAACTGGGCTGCGACCGCTGAGCTGTCACCACCAAAGCCTCGCACGCCCCAAGTCACGACCCTGCTGGACACCTTTGGGCTGATCTTGGACTTCAGAGCTGTCACCAGCAAAGTCTGGTGTGCCCCAAGTCACCACTGCATCAGCCAGGATCGCAGCAAATGCCTGCACAGTTGCTTGAATCTGCTGGACACCCTTCAGCTGATCTTGGACTTTCAAGGCCCGATGTCACAATTCGGTCACCTCCAGAGCAAAACAATGCAAACGTTGTTCCTCCTGCCGCTAGCTTCGCCAGCGACAGAAGGAACAACGCTTGCATTGTTCCAGGACAATAGCCGCTAGGTGGTCTCCATCTACAAGTCCTGCTGCTTGCAGAGACACTGTAGGATCCAACGTGTGATGGTCTGCAGCCACAAGCCTAAAGAAGCCACATTGACAGGATTTCTGTGCCAGAAGCCTCAAGTCCCCTACTTTGGAGGACTGCGGCAGCAAAAATGCTCACTGCAGCCGCTTGGCAAAGCGTGACTCAAAGTATGTGTCAAGAAAAACCCATGTAACGTACAGACCAGTTTCATCCAGTTTCTACGAATGATTGATCTTGAGCCAAATTGCATCAAATTGCACCACTTTGGGATATGTTTCATGGTTTTTTTTGAACGCCTCACCTCATGTTCAACACGCTGGCTGTTCCTGAAAGCGATCCTTAGAGTGATTCCCAACAGTGACTTGCAATTCTTAAATTGGATACAAAGTGACTCTCAAACTCAATACAAATGATTCTCAGAGTGATTCTCAAAGTGCCTCACAGTATAGCAGTTGCATGCTTGACATTGCAAGCTATATAAATGTGTGTTCAACTTCAAAGTTACGACCTGGCTATATAATTGCTTTTGGGAATCAACCATGTTACATCATGTTACCCTATATTGCCCTTGCCATCACTCACACATTGATCTGTGCGGCAGTGAAGGTTTCCGCAGTTCTGATCGGATGCTCCCCGGATCCTGATTTGGTCGGCCTTGTTGAACCACGAAGCCGAAATTGTTCTGACTTCACTCCCTGTGTCCGACCCTTCCCGTCCCAAGCTTCTTTGATGTCCAAGTAAAGGTGAATGTCTGCCTGACCTGCGCCGATGTAGTGCCCACATGTGGTACCCTTTCTAACCAATCTGGCCCGTACCACTTTCAATCAAGTCTTAGTTTCCCTCTCCCCCATTCTGGGTTTCAATGCACCTGACACATATCAGTTTGTCGCTGGGGAATCCAATGGGAGATGCTTGAAACCTGAAACCACCAAGAAAATTCTTGTTGAAGCCCCCGCCATCGAGATTTCAATGCAGATCCTCTCAAGAAAAGTGCTCTGAAAGTTGGTAAATCCATAACAGTTCTATGTGGTGGTTACCATTTTTATGGGGGATACCCAATAGCTGGATGTTTTTTTTCATGGGAAATCCCCATCGAAAATGAATGATTCCGGACCCCATAGGCATCCCAGGAACCTGCCAGCATGGAGG